AGGTTAAGTGGCTCACACCCCCCACCCCCCTGAATTGGCCCCATTCCCCCTGGCTCACGCATTCTTACTTACTACCAGGTTCCCTCCACACCAAAAGGATTAGATGTCATACAACCCGATTCAAATGGCGCCAGGGCGGGATTGGCGATAGAGCGCGATTTTTCGAATTTAGTTTCGTAGTTGCCGTGGCGGAACGAAAGTACTAACGTTTTGATGGCCGTTTGTTTTACTTTTCTCGTTGACTGTTATGTCTTCATTTAGAGCTTATTTCTCCCGGAATCTCATGAAGTAGTTCATCTTATGCTATTGATTTCGTTTGAAATGATGGTAGTTTGGAGTAATCATCAACCGTTCAGAAATTGCAGAGATGGATGGGAATGTTCAGCAGGTGACACTCGCCCTACAGGGAACACTTCAGCTTGATCCTAATATAAGGAAACAAGCTGAAAATCGGATTTTTGAATTCGAAAAAGTTTCAGGTGAGGTTTATTTCGTCTTGCTACCCAGAAAAACCGTTTTGTTTTAAAGTAGTATTATGCTGTTTCCTTTACAGATATTGGTACCATCCTGTCAAGGGAGGGGGAGGGGGGAGACATTCAGGTGGAGAAGATTCAAGGCTTCCAAAACCTTTGAACATCTTCCATTATAGGCTGGGTCAGAGTCGCGATCCGTCGCAGGTTTCGCGCTGCTCGCGCGGATCCCAAAAATCACAAGTGCCCTATTTGAACATTTGCAACACTGAATATGAAACAAGTAGAATCATGAACAGTCGTCATTTAGCCATCACCATCAGCAGAATCTCCAGCGAGTTTGAGAGCACCTCCAAGTATTGATCGGGTAACTTGTGATTCCTGTGATCCGTTCCGCGATTCGTGCGACGGATCGCGGACTCTCACACCAGCCTAGGGGTCTATGAGCCGTAAACGAATGGTCCATCCACCCGGAGCTCCTCTTGGAAAAATGCGCATCTGCTAGTAGGTACGAAGCTGTGTCCAACAAATGCTTCTATATTACTCCCGTCCTCCCGGGCCCACCTCTCAGTAATAGAGGCCCTAAGCTTTTTCTTCACACTTAAATGTTCTCGCAAATACGAGTCATTGTTTGAAAATGTGTGAATTCTGAATCACTCTTTCCTGTAGGGTTTGCAACGCTTCTTCTTCAACTTGTTTGCTCCTGATGAAGCGGTGCCAGAGATTCGCATGGCGGCCGCTGTTGCGCTGAAGAACTTTATAAGGGATTCTTTTTTTTTTTTATAAGAAAGAACTGGGTGAGCAGCAGATTTCTTTTTCACTTTTTCGTCTGTGATTGGCAAAATGAGTAGCTTATTGAAAACGTTAATAGAACCTAGTCACCTAGCGACCCTTGAGAATCTCATGAAAGGCCTCTCTTTTTTGAAATCCCTACACCAGCACAGCAATCAAAATTTGGGATATTTGCGCGCATGAAGATCATCGCGTATCCGAGTTTACGATCTCTTTTAAGGCAGGCTAGAGTAGGAGACTACTTCAAAAGAAGTGTCTTCTTTGCGTAGACGATAGTCTTCGCCATGGTACCACCATAATACCATGGTTTTAGAAGGAGTAACACGGAGACTATTCTCCATATTTTAGACTTAATGGTTTCTTGTTAAGGGAGAGACACCCGAGGTGGATATGACTCCGGAAGAAGAGGAACAGATTCGCCAATCCATTCTTCAGGGGATGTTTCTCATCCGAGGTACTCTCCAAGGACAGCTCTCTCATGCCGTGCAACTTATGGCCAAGGTACAGGTTTCTGGTAGTTTTCTCTAAATGTGGTGACCAATATGGAGAAAATTTACTGAATTGAAGTGCTATTGTTTGGGCCAGAGGATTTTTGGAGAATGTCCTAAGCGAGTTTCATGGAAATACTACTGTCTTGCTAAATAAAGGTGGCTAATTAGTGAGTTCGGATCTGGTGTTAGGATTGAGTTCTTTTTTTTGTTGTAAAAGCCGCGCTGTTTATGTATATGGGGCCTTCACTGTTCAACAATTGAGATATGGGAAAATTGAAATTAAAGTGGAGTGGAAATCGAAGAGATACGGGTTTCAGAACAACTGGGTTTATTCTTGCTAACAAATATTTCGCGTGCCCTTACTTACTATTCTGAATTTTTTGTGTTTAAGCGAGACTTTCCCGAACGTTGGCCCACGCTGGTTCCATCACTCGCTGAGCATCTGAAAGTTGATGATCTGGGGCGTCTTGTTGCGGCTCTTTCGGCTATGGATCAGCTCTTCAAAAAGTTCCGTTACGAAAGCAAATCTACCGCTCTGTGGACAGAGCTCAAGTCGTGCTTGTTAACCGTAAGTTCTAAATGTGTCCTTTTTCAGGGATAATTTTTTTCAGTTCAACGCAGTAAAACATTACAGGTGCAAGAGCCTCTCACTCAAGTATATGCTAAAATGATTGAGTTTATTCCACAAAGATCAACGATGTCGTCAGAATCGCTCACCCAGTGGCTCGAGATTCTCTGTCTTGTTTGTAAAGTGTTTCACTCGCTGTGCTTCCAAGATCTCCCGGAATATTTTGAGGTATATTTATAATCCCAGTTAGTCGCACTTTCTTCATTGGAACTGGGAACCTCCTTTTGGAGAATCTTTTACTTTGAATATGAAGTAGTATCGCACTCTTATTAATTTCTATGAATACACAACCATCTCTGAAATAGTTGCAAAGCCAAGCTTAACTACAAGGAGCCTCCTCTTTCAGGATAATCTGAAACCTTGGGTAGAAGGCTTCTTGGAAATCATGAAAATGGACTGTCCTGGGATTTCTTCAAGTGCTGGAGAAGCAACGTTCCTCGATGAATTGAAGGTTAGTTCGTGTCAGTTCGTTACTGATGCCGATTGTATTGGACGTAGTTGTTTTTCATTTCTAGAAAATTTTGATGCAATGAAGATGTTGTTTTTAATCCCTACGGTTTTGTGCTTATAGATGGAAGTTTGTGAGATATTCACCTTATATGCTCAACGCTTCGAGGAAGAGATCAATCCATTCATGCAGAATATCATCCAAGCAGTATGGCAGCTTGTAGTGCAAACCGGGGTTTAATGAAAGCGGAACAGCTAGTCTTATCCTGCATTCCTTTCGCACGACAGCTGAGGTGATGGCTCTGCCTTCAAGCTTTGGGTTATCAACCATGAGACATGCACTCAAATTACCGGGTAGGGACATGAAAGTCAATGACGTTTTGATTGCTCCCGGAGTGCGGGTGAGGTTTGACATGTTATTCCACACAGCACGATTTTCAGAAGTGCTTTGATGTATTACACAGCCTGACTCCTATACACAATAGATAACGTGTTGCAAAAATGAGCTTCCACTGGTAGAGCACGTGGTCTTACGCGCGTACTAGTCCAATTAACGGTACCACATAGTTTCATCCGATAATAGAAGCCTCGAACATTCCAAGGTAGCATCGCTGCAAAAATTTAATTCTTGTCACCTTATTGATGAATTTAACTTGTGGGTCCATTATCTCTCTAATACACTTAATTCCACGAAATAGGCTTCCGCCAATGAAGCTCTTATACATGCATAATCCTCGACTTGATTCTTGTGGATGTGGCTCTTTTTGATTCTTCTTGAAATCGCATTGCAGGTTTGATGGTATGGTCTGCTCCGCTTTGGAGTTTTTATCAATATATCTCCAACAAAACCACCTATGACAGCTCTTTTCGTTGGAGACAGGCGTTCGATTCAAACAATAAGCACGTGAGTTTATTTGACTGCTCAGCGGCATATATCTTTTCGTGGGGCGCGTCACAAGTTTTTCTATTGAGCATGTAGGATCGTATGCCGCTGAATCCACCATTCATCTTTCAAGCAGGACGATCTAGAAATGTTTGAAGAAGTGATCCGATTGATATATCAAAAAGGACCTCTGAGAGGGGTATCGCCTTGCTTGTCTCAGTTTCCTCCAATAATCTGAGATCTCGTTCCCGGTAACTCGATACATAGTACTCGTCGCTTCGGTGGCCACATCGGATCTGTCGTGCCTTTGTGCCGCAATTTTGAGGACAGACGTACCAGTACATTGCTCAGTAAATCCCCTTGAATTGTTTCTTCGGGTTTGGTTTCTTTGACGTTCGTTCTTCTGTTCTCAGGTTGTTCATTGCCTGTGTTCTCAACGGGATTGGATTAAGTTTGGATGGTCATTGTTTGGTTCGTTGCATTGTCACTCGAAAAACCGAAAACAGCAAAGAGGGTGTTAATCGTATATCGAACCTCAGTTCTGTAGTTGGGACTTTATTGTTGTACCTAGGCGTTGATCTGGGCTACATACGTGTTTACAAATAATTGCTATTGTCCCGTAATTTTGAGACATTCATCTCAAAATTCTAACGTCATAGCTTCTGCTTAGGGTGCGAACTATTGTTTGTTCTCAAAATATGCGTTACTCTGGCTTTTTTGGAGGATGTTTTAATCATTTCTAAAAGTCATTGCCCAGAATGCGGAAGGATTTTAAGGCCCAGTCCAGTGTTATTTCGTATCTTTCTTTGATGTCTTAATTCTTCGTGTATCTGCAATCATTCTTGAGCCAGATGAGTCAGACATATAATTTCTACGCTTTGAAGAGACCTCCTTTCGAATCATTTCCAAACCCGCGCATCAAAAATCGTCATACACCTCACTGACCAAACCATTTCCACTGGCGTCGTTAAAAGATAAAAATGCCCTTAAAAGATTTGCCGTTTGATCAATGCACCTTTTCGGGATGCGCATTCTACTCCCATTTGTACATTCGTAGTGCGCCAGCGTCGTTGGGGGACACTTATTAATCCTCATATTTACCTGTAAGATCTTTTTTTGCGCTTCTGCGTGAGTTTCATTTTTTGTTTTCCCGTCCAGATCACTGTGCTGACTTATAGCGTCAAGCGGGGCATCTCTCGCGCAAATATCGACGAATATCGTCTGTCTTCATTCTCTAAGGCTGATGCTGTCTCCAGTTACGGTTTCTGATTTTGAAAGGGCCCTATCTATTACTTTCTTCGAATCACTGGTAATCATTTGGCTTGACTGATCCATAAGGCGGTATCTTCATTCAGATTTGTCCGGTAACATTCCCTTAATCAATTGCCTGCGAGGTTGCTGTAGTAATACAAGCGTCAATCGACTGCGACTCACGTTCACGATACTTCACAAAATATCTCGCAATTGCGTGAACAAGCTACGCTGCGTTAATTGAACCGAATAGTACGTTAACGATAAATTAATGTATAGAATTGGGTTCTATTTCGTTGGAAAAATTTGGCGGATACGCAGCAAGGTCTAAGGCTGTAAAGTGTGCCGTGAACGTCGACGGTGCTAACATTTTTGCGTTGCTTGTAAGCACAACTTTGGGACACCATAATTACCCATATTTCTGCACCCATCCCTTTAACGCTGTGTCTCGATTTTTGAATTTAGAGCAGTGAAGATACCCGCCATAAAATTTTCAGGCCCCTTTGTTAACGGCACGAGTGGTACCTGTTGGATCTCTCCTCAATAACCTTGTCGCAGGATTCGACAAGGATCCGAAAGCACAAAATTCTCCCTACCTCATGAAGGCTGTGTTACGATGTGTGGCTTCTTTGATGTTACCTTTTTAGAGCCTTTTAATTTCGCCACATATTGTAGCCAGTTGTAACTGTTATTTTGTAGGAAAGACGAACCAGCTGCTCGTCACCGGGCAACAACTCCGCGCGCAACTTCGCTCCCTTCGGTAGCATGCAGCAACAAAGAGTCCGCTGACCGCAGTACCATCACTTTATTTCATTCCTATTTTCGAGAACAAGTGGTTTCCATCAAGAAGGTACACTCGCCGTTTTAGTTGCTGGATCTGTATCAGACTATAACTTTGGGCTCGAAAGTTCTGATTTTCCTGTTTAGACCGAAATTTAACCGCAGTAACTCGACTGAGTCTAATGCCATTAATCGTAAACGAATCTCAGTTCAAGGTCTATGCTTGATTCTCCTACCAACGCTTTGCAGAATCATCAGGTAGCCGTCTGTTTTTCAATAATTCTTAACATAGCGTCATTTCGTTCGCGTCAGGAGTGCCTGTTGTCCATCATCCGTATCGCCCGTTCTCGAACGGTGATTTCATAAATATATTTTGCGTCACTACTCCATATGTCTCCTTTCTCACGCGCTGGGCTAGATCCGCGAACGTACCGGCGGCGTTGACTGTTGTAGAGGTAAGGTGCTCTTTTTTGGGGAATTTCAACGGTTAATTTTTGATTCAGCTCTAAATAGAGCCCATAAAACAACTATTTCAGACATTTTTTAAAAACACCCGCCCCGAGTTAGTGATGCGGGATCACGGCGCCTTAGTGATGCAGCATTTCTCAAGGTAATTTCGTCGGACCCTCTTCCTCATTTCATAAGATGTTCTTTCCCTTGTGGCTCTTTCACTCGTAAAAACGACTCGCTTTTAAGGCTGGTGGGGTCGAAGTCTCTTGATCAGTACGGCTTCCAGATGGCAAATGCTATACTGCCGGTTGTTGAGGTTTGTGTCGAGTCTTTAGGGATCCGCCTTCTTCTCTACTTACTTTTAGATGGTGCAAGGTGTTGAGAATCCAATGAGTGTGCTGTTAAACAATATGTTCCGGCGAGTACAGTTCAGTAAAACGCCAAAGTTTATGAAGCACTTCGTCGTGTTTCTATGCCGATTTGCAATTGTGCGAGGAGCTGAGCATTTTGCAAAGGTTCGTGGATTTTTTTTATGTTTTCTCAGATCTCACGGTAGCAAGGGGTCTCCGGTTTTCTTTTTGAATCTTGTTCTCTGATTTCCTAGTTGGGATCGCTTTCACTTATCCTTTCTTCTTAGCACTTCTCTGTATCTCAACCATATTTACTATTTTTTCACTATTTTGCGAAGTTTTGTCTTATAAGCCGACCTATTTGAGATCCTATCTAAAAAATTCTGTTTTTTTTTTGTCTCAGTCGTAACAAAGCCAGTATCGATAGCTATGAGACCATTTCCTATTTGTGGTCTCCGCGCTGCCGCCACGACATGACACGTGTACGCGACATAATGAAGGCTCTTTGGATTCAGGGTCAAGTATTTGGGTTAAACATGTACCAAATACCAAACATATCAAGAATCAGCGAATTTCCATTCTATATCCATTCATCCACTAATAATTGCCTGTTCGCATGGGTGGCCGCCATTTAACAACTAGTTAGAATGGTCAGGAAATTAGCGTAAGGTCCCGTAGGATTCTTACTGTGTAGAAATGGAATTATCAAATAAAAATTGTGAACATTTTCAGTCTGTGGAAGCTATCCAAACAGGCATGTTTCGTATGCTGTTGGAGAAGGTTGTAGTTGCTGAATTACCGAGTCTGCACAATATGACAACGCTGGACGATAAGCGAATAATAGCGATTGGTGTCGCGAATATGTTGGCCGATGCAACTAACTACGTTGGGTAAGCTTTGTTCCCTGGTATGATTTTTCTGATTTTTTGCTTTTATTTTCTTGTGCTTACTGTGGCCCCCTTTATATTAATACGAGTTTGTGCCCCGGCAGTTAGCGGCCTTTGCGTGCTTGGGCTTTATACCTTCCGCGGTGCTCACTTCCATTTTAGAAGTCACCTCTTTTTAGGGATGAGTGGAAGAAAGTGTCTTATGGCAGTAGTGGGTCTTTTCACAATTGTGGCTCCACGTCAGAGTGATAGAGCTACTAGAGCTTTAGAGCTGCTAGCTCATATATAAAGATGACAAAAATATTGCTATTCCCAATACATTGAAAAAGTTCAAGAGACAGATTTCTACTAAACTTCCAAGTTACAAGTCTCTAAGTCTATCCTAGTTATTTGAGATTCACCTGAAATCCCATCTCCATAATTGTATTGACTCATCATTTTTCTCACTGTGTGTTGTATTCTTTTCTAACGTTTGCCTTACGCAACGTAATAAATAAACAAAAAACAATATTTCAACGCCGATTTGGACCAGAGACTCAATGGCGATTGATCTTTCTTCTCTTTCTCCTCACTCCCCCTCCCCTTTCCCTGCCCGCCCTCTCCCTCACCCTCTTCCTCTCTCTCTCTCTCTCTCCTTCCCCTACAGCTTCCATTGCAGCTCCATCGGGAATGGCTGGCAGTACGCCCAATGGGTGCTCATATAGCAGTTGACACCCACATATCATCACGAAACATTGATACCGCAATACCAGCCCGCTCCCCAGTATTGTAAGCAGTTGGCTCCCTTCGTAAGCTGCCTTGTCACTTCATTTTTCCGGACGGACAGACATGCAGACTTACTGACCGGCTTCGTATAAACATACCGATGGAGTGACACACCAAGATAAATTTTAGAAAAGTAATAAATATCTATTATGTATTGTTATTACCTCTTCTGTTTGAAATTGTTATCGTTTTAGCGACCAATACGGCCCGTTGGCGATCGGAACAGCTCAACTAATCGAAGCCCCATCAGCAAGTGATCGGCCTGTTCTTTCTCCGGAAGAGGAGCAAGTAAGCACCTCTATTCTTTACCTCCACTGCTTGTTCTTCAGTAAGTGAGCGCGCGCTGTAGAAACTGCTGAATCGTCAAAAGTTCTATTCTTAAAACAGCTTCAAAGTTCATAGAACAGATGGTAAAACGGACAAAAAACCTTTCATGCACGACAAGGTGGTTGAGAATCAGTGAGGGTATAAAGACCATAGATGACGAGTACGAAGCACACTTGAAGACTCTACAGACCGCGCGCATTCGCTAGGATCTTTTACGAGCTCTTGTGATGAAGCTGCCCTAAGTTTGACTTTTAAATGTATCCTGGCATTTCCCACTCAGTTTAGATGTTAAGCTGGGGGATGTAACAGAGCCCACTGGTGAGGGCTCCCCGTTAGAAAGGTAGGCAGGGGAGCTTAGGGAAAAGTCCGGTTCCTCAGACGCTTCTGCCAGATACCCATTGCTTTGTCGGCGTCAGGAGGAGTTTTTGTATTTGTCAACTTCTGCTGATTTACCTTAGATAGCATTGTGTACATATTTTCTTTTTTTCGCTATTCAGCGATCATTTGCTTAGTCTTTCAAATGCAGGCATCGATGTACAATGCTGAAGGAGAGTTCACGAATCCATACTGCCGCCTAAGCTACGCTCCACGAGCGGATCCTCTTGCCCCAGAAATTACAAACTTCAAAAGTGAGTACCAATCGATTTATTACGAGTATTGAAAATTTCCAGTCTTTATTCATCAAATTACGATTGATAACATCAGAAATAACTTCGCATTTAGATTATCTAGCTCGGGCCGTCCTTCAACGCGGCCCGGCAGCGAATTCGGCCGTCGAATCTTGCATTCCTGCTGAGTTACGAACTCATTTGATGGCATATGTCTCACTTTGATCACAACATGTGTTGTTCTGTCAAATTACGCCCCCATGTTGGTGTGGTGAATGCACTTCTCTTTCCCGGTCATATAATCTCATATATAATCCCGTTTTATTCTCTCCGTGAACTTGCTGCGAATTATTACAGTCGGGCCATAATAGAACGACATGGTAGATATCTTGTTGCTTGTTGTTATGTTGTGGATGGCGTTCTCGCCAACGCTGCGCGAAGGCACGTTTTGGCCATCGCGACTGCCGCTCGGGACTAGAGTGCAACTCACGAGTCAGAACGTAGATCGCAACGAAGTCGCGGGCTTGAAATAAGGTTTTTTAGTTTGTTAGAGCACATTGGAGCTGGGGTAATGAAGTGTGACCTAGGTACGAGGGCCTGAGACGAAGCCGATTTGATAGATGAACGTCAGTGTCGGCTTGGCGGGGCTTTCTTGGGCAGAGGATTGCAAGTTAACCAAGTTTAGACATCGTCACAACATTCACTCGACTGTAGTCACAGTCATAGACCGTTCTAAGGAGTAAGGCTGGTAATTGGTCGTTGGGAGTAAAGTTCCAACTTTTACTGTGACACGTTGTTCGCCAGCTTTGAAAGAATTTCCATTCAAAGATTTATTATCTTTTTTCGAAAATTTTCCTATTATCAGGATGATTTGTTATTCGAGACGTATAAAATTCCCGCAGACAAGTGCAGACCGATTTTTTTTCCGGTACGAAAGAAATTGTCATACTTTTTTCGCTTTTGTGTCCTGACCTGTATTCGGTTAAACTCCATTTCGTGTAATGCTTTCTGACAATTGTGAGTTTTGTTTAGGTTTTAAAGTGTACCTTTAGGCTTTTTCAAATTTGAAACACCATATTTAAAAATAAAAGATTTTTGCTCTCTTGTCGAATTTTCCAGTAACCGTCTTTTTTGACACGTTGACAACGACGCGATTTTTCGGTATTTCCAAGATGCACTCCAGTGCTGGACATGCCAAAAGAAAAGAACTCAATGCGGAAGCGTTGAAAGTTCATTTCCACAATTTTGGTACTGAGGTCTGAAACCATTGCTCATGGTCTTCAAGGTGGGTTCAAGCTCATTGGAATCTTTTCATTGAGTCAAGGAGGGATTTGGGGAGAATTTCAGGGAATTTCACCTTTTCACTTCAGAGCTCGTAAATATGGTTCCAGAACTTGTGTCGTTACGCTAATTGCAAGCAAAAAACCGGCTCCATGTGTCCGAAAACAGCCTTTCTTACTTAAGACACATTTTGCAAGGCTCTAGCGGCTCTTCCTACGGTCGTCCGTATAACGGGAATGGCACAACCGTGATTGATCTCAAGGGATCTATCTTGCAGGCCGAAAGGAACCGCTCACACGACTTTTACCTGGGTTGCGCCTTTAAGCCTTTATGCACCCATCGGGCAAAGTATTTACTGTGTAAGAAGTGCACAGACTTATAGTCACCGTAACATACGCTATCTTAAAATTTCTTATAAGGTTTACTATTGGCTAGGAAAATTTTTCAGCCTGCTGCAAAAGATTTGGGGCGTGGCTTGGCTCGGTGGTGTGGTGTGAAATTGGTCGCCAAGCGTTGCGAAGGTTGTGACGGGGGCTTTCGCTCAGATTTTCCCTTTTTTTATTCTAAAATCCGGACTTATGCCCAGTACCGCCTAGCGCGGGTTTCATGCCCGTAGATTTAGCCGTCTGAGTCTCATGGTGATTGTGGAGTCGTATCAAATCCCCCATGGAGGGGGAGGGGGGATCGTAAAATTTTCGGGAAGTACCAACGGTAGGTCGACCCTGCTTCGAACCAGTTTCAGGTCCTGAAGACGACGATTTGTCGAAACGTTGACCAATAAACGTGTTCCACCATAACAACCTGATTATGGCACAGAAGAAAACAGCACAATATTCAAAATGCCCAGGTTCCAGGAAAACCGAACATGGAGTACTTGTACTGCAATGAAGTAGTGTTAAGAAAAGCTGTGAGAAAATGCGTAATTTTGATGTGTTGTATACAGTAGATTGACCCATTTGATTGGTTCCCATAATGTGATCGGACACTCTTTACTTCCTATCACATTCTTCTGCTTCATTTTTCTTTTTCTTTTTTTTTTCGTCGTTGAGAGTGCTGGCCGGATGCTACCGCTGTATAACCAAAATCATAAGAGTGGTAGGTAATAATCATCTTTGTGTAATCAACATAAATAGTCACTTTATTCGGTTTTGTCCAAAATAACAACAAAAGACTTGTCCTTATTTTTCTATTTTTCTTTGCTAAGTAATGGCGATGGATATCTACCTGAAAATATGGAGATAGTTTTTGGGACGTTTTTTGACGCCGAATTGGCGCCGAATTTAGGCAGAAATAATGTTGTATCAGCGGAGGTAGAGCAGTGGAAACATTCACTACCTTTTACCAGCATGGGGTCTAATACACGCCTAGGCACGTTATCTTTAATCCATTCCTGATTAGTGTAATGAAAGATTACCGCCTTGGAAAGACAGGGACACTGATCCAACACTACTGAGCTTCGCATTGCCATAAGATTAATGCTTATGGTTAACACTCACACCAAAGTGTGGCTAGAGTTTTGTTAGTGGGAGGGGTTTGTGAGTGGGCGGGGTTTGCTTGAAGCGCGGCTCATTTGTATGCGTGAGTGCTGTCGGTGTGCAAAACTTCTTGAATCGATATTCTGCTGTTTCGAGCCTTGGTACGGGGTTTGCGCGGTTTGACCCATCTGTATGTGCTAAAATTAGTATAGTAATTGTTGTTGAAGATAAAGATAATAGTGCTCAAAGATTAGCATTAATGCATTACGCGTTCGAAATACTCTGCATTACTGGACCATGAACGCATTTATGGCGCAATCCTGGGGATTTCCAAGGCCGCACGCTTTTCCAGGACTCGATAGAAGAGGGATTGGACTTGAATTCGGTAGGGTTGACATTTTTACGTACCTACTATAAATAGAATGAACAAAAAATGACTCACATGGATTTACTTTTAATATTTTTAAAGCAGCGGTCTACTAGTCATCTTCCTTGTTTGGATCGGGCGACGTGGGTTCATCACCGGGCGCTTTTTTCTTTTGCTTAGGCTCTTCGTTCGGAGACGGCTTCCTTTCAGAATTTGGTTCTTCCACAAGGTTTTTCTTTCCATCTAGCACAACTTCAACAGTACCATCGTTAACTTCCGCACGATCTGCAGCTTTCTTTTGCACTGCCAGAGGCTCTTCCGTTTTCTTTTGCACAGGTGATTCTTCAGGGCTAGCGGGTGCATCATCTTGTTTCATAACTGACTTGGTTGCCGCATCTTTTACATCAGCAGATTTCT